AATCTATCGAGATACGAGTTGGCCGCAACTAGTATAGGCAGCAGCGTCAGGGTTACGGCCCCTAGGCTATTCCCTAGGTCCTCCATGAGAGACACGAGGCAGATACAAGCACAAATAGCTCTGTAGATGGCAGACAGTGGCAGAGCCATCAGTAGAGGCTATAGATCTGAGAAGGCAGAGGTCACAGAAGGAGATACGTCAGCCTGGTAGGACAGAGCATCTTTGGGTGCGTGTTTGTGTGTGCCTGTAGGGTCTGTGCACGTTGGGACGGATAACCCTGCACAAAAGGAAAGAGCTGAATGATATTAACACCAGCTCGGGTGTTCAGACCTTCTCCATTTCCAGGGAGTCATGAGAGCACAGGGCAGGCAAGATGAGAGAGCTGTGTCTCAGGAAGGCAAGGCTAATGGAGATGGGGGGGGTGCTGAAAGCAGAGAGGTGCAGATGCTCCCGCAGCAGCCTGCGGAACAGTGAAGGAAACGCAGCCTCAATGAAGGGGAATGGGGCCTGCGAGAGGAGGAGGCAGTTCTCATGCTGAGAGGCGAGGTGTGCAGTTGGAAGAGGCGAGGTGTGCAGTGAGAGAGAAGAGGCAGGTAACTCCTGGGTTTCGTGCCTGAATGACTCAGAGTATGAAATAGGCTTTCCGAGAAAATAGTTATTGTACCACGTTAGTGTGTGCAGTTTCAAGAATTAATTCATTAAGAAGTTTAAAAATCTGTGGATCATGGGGGCAAACTGTAGACGAAACAGTCCAGATGGCTGAAATGTTTACTTTTTGGTTCACTGCAGGTGTATCACAAACCAAAACATGCTCATCTATAACTGCTAGTAATTCCCCTAAAATCTCTCTTAGCTGATAGGCCTCGCTTATAATAGAAGGGGACTAAAAAAAGATAGCAATTGCTTTGAGAGGTCATGGATATTTTTTTCCTGGACAAATAATACTTTGAAGGGCTAAATGATAAAGCCTTTGTAAGGCTGGAGTTACTTCTCTTGTTCATGTTCTTTGCTCTTCCATTTGTCTTTAGTTTTTGATTTTTTTTTCCTAGAGATGGAGTGTTACTTTGTCACCCCTTGGTAGAGTGAGTCACAGCTCACAGCAACCTCCAGCTCTTGGGCTTAGGTGATTCTCTTGCCTCAGCCTCCTGAGTAGCTGGGACTATAGGTGCCTGCCATAACGCCTGGCATTTTTTTGTTGCAGTTTGGCCAGGACTGGGTTTGAACCTGCCACCCTCGGTATATGAGGCTGGTGCCCTACTCACTGAGCCATAAGCACTGCCCAGTTTTTGATTTTTTATGGACTATGTACTTATGTGTTGATTGTGGCTTAATTTGAAAAATAATGCTGTCTCTTCCCCATACCAGAAAGATCGATTCTGTATTTCAATTAAGACCAAACGTCTCTGGAATAAGAAATGTTTTCCCATCACATTGAATTCTTATATATAGTTTTTGTTGTTTTGTTTTTTGGAGCTTGATCCTAAAACTGACCCTGGAAGTCACTCCCTTCAAATAGAACTCTCTAAAGAGCTGTAGGAGTTTAGTTCATTAAAATATGTTATAAATAAATGGCAACACTCTATCCTTTTAAATTTCAATTTTTTACGTCCGGTCCCAGTGTGATTTTGTGACCCTGGGGATTTCAGTCTGTAGCTGAGAAGGAACAGGGCTATAATGTGTGAAAACATTTCTCTAAATTGCATTCACTGAAAGTACACTCTTTTCCCCACTCCTAAAACCAAACTAGAATGCATAATCAGTCTCATTGGTTCTGTTTCAAAACTGGCCCAGTGGAAAACATGAATGAATGAAATTGCATTTGCTTGGAAAAAGTTTTTGCTGCTGTAGTTAAAACCATAAATGAGATTTTAAAAAATGTCTCGTACAACTAATCGGATGGGTTTGCATTGGATCATTTTCTTCTTTCTCTCCTTGCCACAGAGTGTGGGTTTTTGTTTTCCTTGTTCTCCAACACAAACTGCCAGCCACGGCCTACCAGGATCTTTTCCCAAACACTGCGTGTAACTTGAGGTACCACATCTGTTTTCCTCAGTACCCCAGACTGGCTTTTCAAAAAGTATTTCTCATCATGGTGTCCACAGAAGATCTGAAAAAGCATTTGGGGATTTGGGGCCATAACAAAATTATTAGATTGTTAGGGTGGATGATGGGAATGGGACATTTCTTTTCCTTTTCCCACAGTGGAGCAAGAAACCAGCAGCCTGCCTACATAAATCGAGCAGAATTGATTCTGAAGTTTCTCTCTTCACGGTATAGGATGGGTCTGTTTGGTAATCCACTATCACAAATGGGGCTAGAATTCATCACAAACCACAAGCAATGGCTGGGCGATCTAGGCCTGATCTGATGGCTCAGTGCGGCCCTCTTTTTCCTTCCCGTTCCAATGTGGGGTTGGGAGCTTATATGGGGTTTTCAGGGCACTGGACTGACCTAGGCCACAGAAGAGCCCTTCCTGACTGTGACCCATGTGTTCTCACAATTGTTACGATTACAACACAATTCATGTTCAGAGTCTTAGCATTTATTTCCTCCTCAGTGCACATGAGCTTATTAGACTTTTCCTGAGGACACAGGGAAGCAGGGAACATTGGGCGGAAGGACGGAGAGAGGAGTCTTCAGGAGCACGGTCATGGAGATTTGACACAAACTTTGACCTCTGACAATTTTGCATAAGATCAGAGCCAGCACAAAGCTACATATCGAGGTTAGCCGATCTGAGTTTACTCAGGACAAACTGGGCAAGAATTACTTGCCCTTTTGTTATTTCTGAAACCTGAACTGCTTTTAGAAATAAAGGCTGGAATGTTCCATAGGCACTCGGAGCATGGGACACGGGCATGGCACACACACTCGGTCTGGCTATTTAAAACCCAGTCCCTTGGCTTCTCTCTGTGATTCTAAATACGTGTAATCACATTACCCTGCAGCAGCCGGTAACTATTTCTATAACAATGTCCAGCATCTGTGCTTGCCATGACTGGGTCCACCCAACAAAAACAAAGGGATGATGTGGCGACTGACTAGGTGGACCTCTCCAGGCGTTCTGCACCACACTGATGTCCAGCTAGTGTCAGAATACGAGTGGTTGTGTCAACTGAACTTCTCTAATTTTAGGGACTGATCTATTTAACTATCCTGGAAGGGAGGAGGAAGTTAGCATGTTAGGAGGATGCTTTTTTTTTTAAGAGACAGAGTCTCAGTTTGTCACTCTCCATAGAATGCTGTGGCTTCACAGCTCACAGCAACCTCTAGCTCCTGGGTTTAGGCAATTCTCTTGCCTCAGCCTCCTGAGTAGCTGGGACTACAGGCGCCCGTCACAATGCCCGGCTAAGAGGATGCTTTTTAAACGAGCACTTATTTACTTGACAAATGAGCAGCATAAGCACAATTTCTCACTTTCTCAGACATAGCAAATTCTTATCCTTTGGCAGGTTCCCAGCATTAGAGACTTTGCCCCTTTCTGTGCTAAAGAATCCCTCTTTCTTGGCTTGTTTGATGTGCTAACACTTCCTCTACTTGCACTACCAGCCGTCAGTCAAACACATGAACCCCTTAGGAATAACCTCGCCGGATGGTAATTACCTGAAGACTGTCAGCCAGTGGAAGGACAACAGACAAGATCCTTACATAATGTCAAAGCACTTGATCAAGTTTGTGAATTCCATGAAATAGTCAAACCAGTTTAGAGATTTCATATAGACAAAATAATAAATTGAATGACTTATAGCTTTTTAGCTTAAATGTGAAATTTTTATACTTTACCATTTATAAAAAGGGTAAGCATTTGCCATACCCATCCCAAGTGTTTTATCTACTTAAATCTTAATTAGTTTCTGATAACAGCCCTTGGAAGTATGTGTTGTCACTCCCATTTTACAGATAAGGAGACTGAGGCTCAGTGAGATTTAGCAATTTGCAAAAGGCTGCATGTCTAAGTTCTCTGAGTGGTGGGGTAAGATTTAAGCACTGATCTCTCCAATTTCAATTCCACCCTCTCTGCCTATATCTATATATAAACACAAATGGCCAAATGGCCAAGTAAGGCAAGAAACAAGAAACAAAAAAATAAACAAAAATCTTTGGTCCTAAGTCATATAGTTAAGACAGCCCAAACTCAGATGATCCATAATTAACTAATTCTCCCTGGAACCATCCAGCTACAACCCAAGTCTGTTGCCTGACACCTGAGCGCTGGGGTACCTCTTAACCCCCACACGATACTACTCAAAGAACCAGAACTCCAATTGCCAGGCATTACACATCAGAACGAATTATGCATGTTATATTATGCCTGTGAAGAGATCTTATTTCTTAGTCAAATATTATTTTTTAAAAGTACTTTCAGGCATAGACTGAATATGTGATTCCCTTGTGGCCAACTCAAAACACAGAGCAAAGACTAATCCTTTACACTATCCTATATTAATATTTTCTTTTCCCCCTTGTCAGGGGACTAGTTATAAATTAGATGAGATTAAAAAAACAATCTCTCAAGAATTGATATGTTAAGGAATTACCTAGAAAGAACCGAGAGGTTTTTTTCCCCCCACATGGTAAATCACACAGTGTAGCAGCCTGCCCCAGATCCCCGGGAGACAACATCTTGAGCGCATATGTTATGCTGGGTTCTGTATTGACTAATTCAAAAACTCCAGGGCAAAATAACCGAAGTTCCCAAGTCAAAAATGAAAGTAAAATAGTGGAATGGAATTGGGATCATTGTTGCAACACTCCAACAACTTCAGAAATAGCCATTAAAGTAGACAGCATTCCAGGTTAGCCAATTTACCATTGCCAGAATCTACCTGCATGGTGTGAAGTCGCAAACAAACCCATCTACCTCTCTCTCATTTCCTGGATATTCTTTCTTTTCAGAAATACCATTACATTTGACAAAATTAATATTGAGATCATTTTACTAGAGGGCTTATCCAAATTTATGCCATATTAAAAATAGTCATGATATAAATATTTCTCACAAGAGCTGCAGCGATGGTGTGAATAAAAAACTCCCCTCTGAGATTTCAGTAAAACCAGATCTCACAAAGGATCTGAAAGAAAACAAAAAAACAAAAACCAAACAAACAGACACACACAAAGAGACACACACAGAGAGAACAAACCTTATGTTAATCCGGTTTAGCATAACAGTCACTATTCTGACACTATTTTATGAAGTACATACTGTTCCTTCCCAGATGAAGTAAGGGAGATGAATCGGCTACAGGTTTCTCATAATAATGTTCAGGGCTGGGGGTTATCTAAGCATGTTCAGTAGCAGCTAATAAAACCCCCAATTTTAAATGCAGCAAAATGTTAGCACTGTCAAATGGCCAAGCATGCAAGAGGAATCTCTCTCTCTCTCCATGCCCTTCTATGAATACATACAAAGCCCCAAATACACCGGCTGGAATTTTTAAATCGTAAATTAGATATCAAAATGCTTACGGGCCTTACAATGAGATAACATCAGGAGGAACGGTGCGTGGAATGGATCTGGCATTCTCACATAAAGCATTATCTTTGGTACAAGTACACACAGCAGGGCATTTTGGCTTCGCTGGCTTCTTCCCCTCAGTCAGCAAAAGCGCAGATAAGAGACATAGGCAATAAGCAATTCTTTTCAGGGGAATGCAGGCATTTCCCATCCTTTTGCTTCTTTCTGATTCCATGCAGTCGAAAAAATATCCCCAACCATGAACAGGGCTTCTGGAATTCAGCTGGTGATTGTCTTGCTCTAAGAACAGGTCACATAGGAGTCCACCCTTTTCCTCTGCCTCTGTATCTCTGCTTTTCAAAACAGGGACCTGCAGCTGATTCGTGCGTGAGCTTCTCCTCGCTCCAGCAGTGCACTGCTCGGGGGAAGAGACCTGTGAGGTGCTGTGAGATGGGAGGGATCCAACTGCTGGAGGAGAGTGCCGACTTGCATCACCACGAAAACACTGAGCACAGCTCAGCCTTCGAAGGCAAAGAGAAGTGATGTAACAGAAAATAAACAGCTTTCTGCTTTCACCGGGAGGCCCTTTAATTGTTACCAAAAATAGGACGGCATTATGTCTTATTAGTTAGTGAGTGGGTGGGCGGGTGGGTGGGAGCAGTCATCTTGCATAGGATGCCGGCAATCTCAGAAACCTCTGGGAATTTGCTGTTTGTGTAGCAAACAACCTAGTAAGAAAAACTCGCTTTGGAGCCAGCCCTGGCTGGGAAAATGAAGTTAAATGAAACTCTCTCCGCAGCATTCGGCTAAGACCTTGCTGTTTCTTGCTGAGTCCACCTGGCTGATGCCACCCTTCAAAGACAAATGAGAACGCATGGAGAATGTGACTTTCAGGGGATAAATGTGAGTAAATACTTTTTCTGACACTTATTAACCGTTATGAATTATTGATATTCATACCCCCACCTTCCCCTTTAATCCATTGTCTCCATCCGTGGTGGGGGGGAGGGAGACAGGAGCACGGCCCCTCTGTGTATAATCCACCCTCCCTCCTCACTTCTTCTCCCCTCCCTTCTCTGGCAGTAGCACCAGAAGCTTGGAAGGAGCTCCCTGCCGGCAGGAGGCAGCCAATTCTGGCTTCCCAGGGCTCTGCAAAAGGCCTGGCTCAGCCTAGGGGCTAAGAGATGGTAGGGGAAACTGCCCAAATGAGAACTGGAGACCTGGCTTTGAGATCCTAGTTCTGCCGTGAACTAGCTGACTTTACAGAGAGGGGAATGGCTGAATCCACTCGCCTGTCTGTAAAATGGGGATGACAGCATATGACATTCTGTGGTTATAAGGAAAACCAAATGAAAATGATGGGCTGTTACTGGTGTACTTGATGTGATAAATACAGGATGGGCCCTTGGAAAAGGGAATTCATTTAAAGAAGTAAAAATGAAGACACACTAGCAGTGAGGTGGAGTGGTCTAGTCCAAGAGGGGAAGACCGTTAGGATTAAGGAGAGGAGGAAAACAGACCCCTGGTCCTCTCATCATCCTCCAAGAGGGCACAGACAGCCTGGGGTGTCCCTCCATGCTCCTTTCTCCTCCAGCTTTGTAGACCGAAATATTGAAAGGACAGTTTGAGCAATGCATGATTAGGACGTATAACTGCATCCTGCACTGGAGCTGGATGTATCCCCACTGTGCCGTTATCTCCTTAATCACTTGTTGGACTCTCTGTGAGCTCTGTGTGGTTGGGGGGCCTGCAGTGGTGGTCATGCACATTCTCAGATCCAATTACTAGCTGTTTAACCAAGAAGACTGCAAACTCCATGAAGGTAGAGAAACTGCTGTGGACCTGGGCAGCTCTGTATGCACTGTGAGTAACCAGCACGCTGGTGTGAGCAATGGCAGAGTGGACAGTCCATTCGTGCTAATCACATGCTTGTCTAAATCAACTTCAAATTACATCCCAGAGTCCTTTTTTTTTTTTTGAGGCATAGCCTCAAGCTGTCACCCTGGGTACAGTGCCGTGGTATCACAGCTCACAACAATCTCCAACTCATGGGCTCAAGCGAGTCTCCTGCCTCAGCCTCCCAAGTAGCTGGGACCATAGGCACCCGCCACAACACCCGGCTATTTTTTGGTTGCAGCCGCCATTGTTATTTGGTGGGCCCAGGCTGGATTCGAACCCGCCACCTTAGGTGTATGTGGCTGGCACCTTAGCCACTTGAGCCACAGGAGCTGAGCCTACACCCCAGAATTCTAACAAAGGGATCTGACCTAGTCAAGAAGTCAGGGGACAGTTTCCTGAAGAAGTAGTGACCAGGCTGAGTTCTGAGATTAGGAGGAATGAAAGAGGGGGTTGGTGAGAGCATTCCACAGGCGAAGGACAGCAACAGGATATCTCGGCAGAGGCAGGCAGAAGAGTGATATCATCTGGATCGTGCTTCAAAAAAAAAAAACACACCGTACATTATTATCACTAAGTCAGTTTTTGAGGGCTGATAAATACTGTATTTTTTTTTCTTTTTGAGACAGAGTTTCATTGTGTTGCACTCAGTAGAGCACTGTGGCGTCACAGCTCACAGCAACCTCAGACTCTTAGGCTTAAGCAATTCTCTTGCCTCAGCTTCCCAACTATCTGGGACTACAGGCACTCACCACAATGCCCAGCTATTTTTGTTGTAGTTGTTATTGTTGTTTAGCTGGCCTGGGCTGGGTTTGAATCTGCCAGCCCCTGTGTATGTGGCTGGTGCCCTAACCACTGAAGTACAATGGGTGCCAAGCCTGTATGTTTTGTTTTGTTTTGTTTTGTTTTACAAGGAGGAAAGAAAAACTCTCTCAGTCCAAAAAAAGTAAAGATTTTAGAACGTATTCTACTAATGCTTCACTGTCAAGGACTCTGTAGAGGAGGGAGTATCCAATAGCAGTTTTAGAAACCATGACCTATGGGCCAGCTTCACTTTAAACAGTAAAAGTGTCTCTTAAAAGTTGGCTGCAAGTCAGATTTCTGTAAATTGAATCCTACTTCAAGTGCACAGTGGAAACCTGCTCCACAAAATAATTATGTGGTAAAAAGTTTTATGGAGGATCATTTTTATTCAAAGTCACCCCTTAAATTATCTGACCTGTAAATGATGCATTTTGTAACTACAAAACAAAAATCCTGAGAACTTCCAGGGAACTCAGAGCTCTTGGCTCTAATCTCTGTGTGTTACAGATGGAGAAACTGAGGCACTGAGCGGTCACACAGATGGTAAGTGGTGGAGCCCCCTCCCTGCATGCAGTGACACAATGGCAGGTACTTGGTTGAAATGATCAGTTTAGGATAATGCACTCCCTACATTTCACTTTCAAATGTCTCCAGTTATGGAGCTGGCTTGACCCGCTCTTGACTTTGTGCTGTGTAGACGCAGTCAGAGAAGGGCAGCAGTCTTTCCCTTTTGACTTGGTAAAGGCGAGAGGGCAAATGAAAGAGGGAAAGAAACCGTATCCACACTATTCACTTTACAGCCGCATTTATCTGGAAGTTCAGTTTGTCAGTTCAAGTGGAAAAAGGACCATCCGGGAGGGACGGGGAACTCTAAGGACAAATTACAATGGGCATTCTGAAAAGACAGTAACTTTTTCTTTCTCTATGGCATTTACAGCCCAGACTTGAATTCTTCATTCAATTAAAACACCCACTAAGATTGGGCAAAATTTTAACCATATAATGCAGGACTCTGAAGGCCTTTCTGGGAGGAGAAACCATTTCCTGGCTTCAGAATGGATCTGAGGAGGGGCTGGGGAATGAGGGCAAATCACTAAGTTGAAGTCTTGAGAAGCCCCCAGGGAGCAGAGAGGTTCTGAGAAGCAGAAGGGTGGAAGGTTAGGGGCTGCCACCAACTCCAAGGCATTTAGATGAGGTGTGATAATCTACCTGTGGGTCACAGTGGGGGCCCTTGGGACGGAGGCTGAGAGAGGATGAAGGCAGAGTTGGAAGGAGGCCCAGGGAAGCTGGGAGGCTCAGCTGAGGCAGGCTGCTCACCCCTTCATCTAAACTGTGCAGGAGCGGCGGAGCAGTGCCTGGGACTGCCTCTGCACTTTACAGCCCTGTGACGCTGCGCCGGTTTATCCTTCCTAAGCCAGTTTTATCCATGGAGATAATAACAGTGCCTATCACATAAAGTTGTTGAGAGAATTAAATGAGATACCATATCTTTCTTTCTTTTCTTTTTTTTTTTTTTTTTGCAGTTTTTGGCTGGGGCTAGGTTTGAACCCACCACCTCTGGTATATGGGGCTGGTGCCCTACTCTTTTGAGCCATAGGCGCCACCCAGATACTGTATCTTTTATAAAAGTGCTTCTAGTGTGGTTTGATACATGAAAAGAAGTTACTGTCATCATCATCACCATCATCACTGCCGCCATCATCATCATCATGGTTGCAACAGGACTCGAAGTCTGAATATGTGATTCCTGGTACCTGGAAAGCAAAGATTTCAAATAAAAATGAGGCTAGCTGAAGTCTATATTCACTCCAAGAAGCAGGCACTTCTGAACAAGATTATATAATATGGCTTTGTCAGGAGAGTCTCACTGTGCAAAGGTGCCTCCTGGGAAAGAGAGGATTCATTAGTTTGGGTAAAAGTAGGAACACTCACGATTGGTCCAAGATGAAGCACAGAGCTGGAGAAAAAGAAGGTGGCTGTGAGTCTAGAATGAAGATTTTTGCATCCCCTTAAACACTTGTAAGTTAGAAGAGGGTAAGATGAATGGACTGGGGGATCCCTGCACCAAAGGAGAGATTCTCTCCAGTTCAGTGAGAGAATACCACTGCATTGTATGTGGGCGCTGGAGAGCAGCACACAGTGGTGGCACCAGGAGCTGCTTCAGAGATATGAGACACCAGGCCCGAGGGTCAGACCAAAGTCACCAAATTTTTCACCAGAGCAGCGCAGCCTCGGTGGCCCCAGTGCATCAGTAACAGCTCTGCAGACATCAAAGGAACTGGCAAAGAATCCCAACAGGGAGTCAGAGTAGAAGAGAAGAAAAATGAGGGACAAGGTACAATGTCTGGGAGCACATGAACAGTGTTCCCGGGCATCCTCCGGAAGACTGGAAGGGGTGCTTGGGTGGGGGTGGCTGGTGGCTCTGGACAAGCAGATGAAGGCAAGCAGAGAGGAACAGCATGTGCCGTGGTTATGATCCCAGTTTTCCCCTCAGGCTGGTGTGGCCTAGGAAACACACATCGTGCAAGTAAACAAATCATTATTAGGAGCATTAAAAGATCAAGCTTGGCCTGCCTCCTTTTACAAACACTCAGACATGCAAACTGGGGTCATTTTAAGCAGCCTTCTCAAACAGAATGGGGTTTTTGAAGTTCTGAGGCAGATCAAACACAATAGTGGGTCAGGAATCAATCTAGCGGGGACAAGCAGAATTTTGAAAATGAAATTGTTTTAAATAAAAAACTAAAGCATATTGCACATATAAGGGCAACTACTGCCTTATGAAGCCTTTATTCTTTGTGTGTGTGTGTTTACACAGTTGCGATAGAA